GGCAGGGGGTTGTGTCCCGCACACACAGCTCGGCACGGGCGGGACGGAAAAAGCGAACGTTTCCCAGCGGTGAATCAAAGCCCGCGCAGGCTCCCGGCGCGGGAGCTGCTGGAAATCCTCTGCTCTCGTCACGCCCGGGGCCCATGCTGGGCCCGGGGGTGCTGGGCAGGCGGGTGAGCTCGAAACCCTCCTCTGACCTCACCTGGGGCGGGGCAGGGAAGTGGAGGCCAAAGGCAGCTCAGATGCTCTTCCTCCTGGCTGTAAGGGGAGCAGCTTTAAAAATAACCAAACAGCCAAAAAAGCCAACAGCAAAGACAAAACAAAACAAACAACAGCAAAAAAACCCCCACAACTAAAAAAAAAGCACACCCGGGGCAGGACTTGGCCGTTGCAGGAGCCTCCCCAGCCCCAGCACTTGGGGAATATCATTAGAAACTTACAGACCTGCATTATTTTTTTCTCTCAGGTGGACACGCCAAGCCCAAAGCCTTCAGAAGAGCAGCCCAGCTGTGGAGCTCTTCAGGTACTTGTGCAGCTGGCAAGGGAGAACAGAGGCAGCCACAGCTGTTCAGTAACTGCTGCTGATTTGCAGTCTCAAGTGTATCCCTGAGGTAGCTGTAAAACAGGCTGACAGGGATTATTTCCACTGAAGTAGCAGCGTTTCTAGAAGCAGCCAGAACTCTATTTTTAGTAGGAAGAAAGGTCCAAATAAGCTTTTGAGTTTAAAAATATTTATTTATTGTGAGGTTTTTGCACTTGATAAATGTACAAGTCTCAGAAGGTTTAGCAAATGAAACAAAAATTTAACAAACAATTATTACATCCCCAGGGCTCACCATTATACAGTATTTACATCTTCCTAGTTACAATATTGAGTATGAAGGCTGGAGGAAATGCCTGGCTTTGGGTTTTGGTGGTGCCATAATCCCCAGCTTCCCAGCAGCTCCTTGCGTGGCACTGACACTGTAGGACGTTGAGTGGTGGCCAGAGGAAGCTGGAGCCTTTGAGTTAAACGGCCTTTTGGTCCTTCTGTACTTGTAACCCCTGCAAAATCCAGAGAGAAGGTGTGTGTCAGACAGCTGCTTTTCTTGCCCCCTTCCCCTACCCTCGTGGGGGGGGGGCAGGCTACATTGTCTAGAAGACTATGCTTTCATTTTGATTTAAACTTTTTGGGTTTTGGTGTTTGGGTTTCTTTGTTGTTCGGGTTTTTTTTATGCACATGGCTCCAAAACTGCCAAAGAAATGTAAATCAAGATTAGCTGTTGCTCTGGCATTTGCCTCAGGGCAAGCAGCAGCCTGAAACAGGCACAGAGAATGCTGAACCATCCCGACTCCTATTAATCCAATTAGAGTATCAACATTAACTGACACTTCGGGGTCAACAGCATTTAATGACTAATATTTTGATAGATGGGAAGGTGAAAAGGGTGGGAGCAAAACCTGCTGAATTTTTTTTTGTTTGCTACAAAAAACAAGGCCCAGAATGAGGAAAAACAAGGCAGAGAAGGAGGCATCTCTGGAAAGAACAGCCTGTAGCAGACAGGAATGAGTTTTAATAAGGTAGACTGTATTTTCTCTTTGATGATAAATGCAACACTAAAGCAGTAGAATATAAGTAGTTATTTATCCCAATAAAACCTAACAGTCTTTGAAATTCAGGCATGGCTGCAGGTGGGCATTTTACAGAGTGTTTTGGGGAGCGAGTTGGCACCGCTTAGAGCTGCTCTTCCCAATGGCCTGGGCTCCTGCTGTAAGATAATCCCATCGATGGCACAGACAGAACAAAACCACATTCAAATAATTATTTCAGAAATGCAGGGTGTAGGCTGTCCACATAGCTGCCCTTTTGTACCTCATGCTCCCTCTCATTTATCAAATGAGGCAAGATTTCTAGGCTGAGGGACTGAGCAACCTGCCTGCACCACAGCACCGGCCGCTCGGATCCGCTCCCTGTGCCTGGCGAGCTACCAGCACAGCAAAGATGGAAGAGGCACCAGCATAAAGCCCAAATAAGAACTCACTGCCCAAGTTCCCTAATGTCACTCTCCCCTATTTTTAAACAGGGTTTGGGGAGGTCAGAATTTCTTTATTCCTTCCCTTTCAGAGCTGAATAATCATGATGTTTTGAAGCACAGATCTTCAGCATAAACTGTTGCCACTTGAGTGACCAGAATAATAACCACATGAACTGCTAAATTAAGGTCATTGACTCAAACGATGAGGCCCAGCCTGGCTCTTTCATCACCCTCTGATAGTTTGGTTGTGGATCTGCTCTAGAACCTCAAGACCAACCAGACTCCTGGGCCTGCATGCTCTGGTCTCGATGCAGGCGTTGCCTTGTATGGCAAGGTCGGAGGTAGAAGTTCTGAATTCACAAGGGACTGGGAACTGGAGTTCAAATATTCCATCACATTTTCAAAGTTTCATGCTGTTCTTACGTTTCCAAGCACAGAATCCAGTTAGCCTGCTAATGTGTGGCAGCACACTCACAGGTAGTGTCACTGCCTAGCTTGTGGCAGCCAAGAGTGAGAAATGAAGGACAATTGTTAACTATCCTTCCTCTCCAGGAGCATTTTACACAGAAAACACTAGAAAGCCAAAGTGGAGCAGTTGTTACCAGGCACCTGGATAATTTTAATGCCATTCTTAAAGCCCACAGTTACTCAAGAAAATGCAGCAGGGTGAGAAGAGTACAGTTCTGGGATCATCAGGCTATTCTGGACTAGGAAAAGTTATAAATGACCACAAGCAACATACCCTTTGGGATGAAACTGCTGGCTGCCACCACTGCTTGTCTTTTTCCTCTTTGATTCTCTGAAGTTCGGCAGCCTCTTCCTTTTCCTTCTTTGGTTTCCATTATTGCAAAAATAGCTTGAGGTTGTAACAGCATCTTCTGCTTCTTCATCACTCTCAAGCGTGATGGTGTTTCCCGTGTCCACACTCTGGCCAGCGGCATCTTCTGCAGACAGAGTTAAAAGTAACCAAGTGAGACATGGCCTGGGCCAGCCAGAACTGCCAGCCAGGACACACTGACTGTCCCAGGACTTGTGACCTGTTCAAAACCTCCTTCATCCTGGTGACACTACAGGCTCAGCTAAAGGTGTCTCATAGGTTGGTATAAAGAACAGTTCTGGTTTATCCCATGACATAAAAGGATACTGGCCAGTCCTAGCTTCTCCAGCCTGGCTTCTTGTCTAAACTATTTTGGTAACACTGTGTTTTTTGCCTTTATACTTTCTTCCCCATGTCAGCTAGAAAGAATTATGGAATATACCATAAAACCTACAGTCAAATACAGCACTTGTTTTAAAAACAGCATCAGGATACACAATGAAAGACTTGGAGATCCGAGAGCTCCATCTCAGCCATGAGCAAGCAGGACATGGCTCTTTGCACAGGCAGTACAATAGGATACTCAAAAATCAGGTTTGTAGCCATGCATTTGTTCATGCTGCAGTTATGGAAGCACCACCCCCTTACAAGTAGGTATGGATCACTTTAGAACTGCAGGCCCCAGTGTAAAATCTGATAGCCATGCTGTATTAAATACTCTAATTTCACAGAAAGTACGTGCTGTGCTCTGGTGAAGTTACCAGATTTACCAGTGTCAGGGCTCAGTTCTCCACTGAGCTGAACTTTATGCAGGTCAGAGCTCTGCAGACACAGCCCTCCTGACCAGCAGCTCTTTTTACACCTCACGTGAAAGTTCTTCTCATTGAGCAAGGGCTGCTCAGTGAAGACCTGAACTTGCTGACCTCAATTACTATGAAAAGGCAGGAGCTCCTGAAGATCTGCCAGGCTACAATGTTACCCCATCCATGGTAGATGCAGGTGTAAAATAAGCACGAGGTGCAAGACCTTTAACCCAAAGGTCAGAATTCTCATTATCACTGAGCATTTTACCTAATCCAAATAACTAATAGCTTGGGAGCAGAGCAATCTGCTTGGTTCTCATTTTCCTTTTTTAGCCTTACAGAGAGATGCTGAATTTAACTTGTGAGAAGACAGGAAAGACCTTTTATGCTCTAAAAGTGTGCAGTTGCTCCCTCTTGGTAATTATTAAACTGCAATAATTAATTATTTGCTTTTAAAAACAAGGTTAACTTTTGGGTGGAACTGATAGAGGAGGAGAAGGGTACTGCACAGGGGAGGACACATTTAGACACAGCATACTAAACCTGGTGTGGTCCATTCAGAGTACTTATCCATCACTTTGATTATTTCTGCACCATATTTTTCCAGTTTGTCTTCTGTGACACCATCAATCTGCAGCAGAACCTCCACATCAGAGGACAGGGTTTCTGTAACATCACAAAGCACCAATTACATGTGTCAAACTAACTTTATTTGAGAGAGATCATGGCAGAGGATCCTAGAAAAAATTAATTCCTTTTAGTACCACCCTAAGCAAGCTTTTATTCTACCAATCTGCTCCTAGCTGGTTAGCACACAAACTAGCCCACCAGTTTTCTCGGCCAAGGCTCCCATAGTTGGTTGGGGGTGTGATCCCTTGGGTGCTCTTGTGCTGGCCCTGCAGGACTGCTACAGCCCCCACAACTGCAGCCCCAGGAGCAGAGGCTGTGGCAGCTCCTTCCACAGGACTGGCTCAGTTCTCTACTCCAGCCTGCTCTCACCACAGGTCAGAACTGCAAGTTCCAGTCAGAAAAGGCTCCCCCTGCACGCACGGCCCTCCCAGGAAGGAAGAGCTGACATTACCTGCTATTTTCTTTAGAGTTGAAGTGCTGAAAATGTTGAAGTAATGCACATCAAAGACTTTCCCAAGCGTTTTGCAGGTGTCTGTAAGTTCCCCAAGGCACTTCTTAACCATCTCCTCCCGCTGGGACACCTTGGCCACGGCTGCCCGCTGCCGCCGGACCGCGCTGGCGCTCTCTGTCTCGTGGAACTGCACCTGTTGAAGGAGCCAGGCAGTAGCACCTGGCAGGGGAGCCACTGCAGAGACACCATTTGGCACCACAGGAAAGCAGTGAAGGAAACCAAAAGCATTCTTTGATGGACCAACAGCTATTTACCCAGTAGACACTTCTTAAAATTTATTTTTGTACAGGCCACTCAACCACCCCCACATTTCTCCTGCAAAGAACCAGCAGAGTGTGCCCAGCACAGGGAAAACACCCTGAGAGCCCAATTACAGGCTGCTGAGGGATCTGCTCTTCTCCAAATACAGCACTAACGCAGAGGAGACACTGCCTCAAACAATTCTGGGCTGGTTCCATGACCTTCTTGAAGTGCATTTTCCATTAGAGCTCACCAATGACTGGGAAAAAAATAGAGCAGAAAAAGCAGGAGAAGGAAGTGCTGTTCCTTCTTTTCTTCTTAGGTAGTGTTTTTCTGGGTTGGTCATGATATTCCTTTGTTGTCAAGGTGGGGTCGGATGGATGGAGGGAGAAGAGAAAGATTTAACCCTCTCCAGTCCTCTCAAACTCCCCTTTTGCCTCACGATATTAGAATTATTAGAATACTGGACTAGAAATCACAACTGTTGGATGTTCCTACACCTGCTGAAGATGAGTTCCTGCACTTCAGCCAGCAGGCAAGCTGTGTTTACACTGTCCTGGGTCTGTGCTAGAGAAGAGAAAACACCACAATGAATAAGTGCCCACCTGTAGGGATCCATTCAGCACAGCCTGAGCTTTCTCTCCCAGTGTGACATATGCTACTGCTTGGTCATTAGCTGTGATGTACAAGTCTTCATCCAGAATCTTGTCCAAGACCAGTTTTCTAAACAGTCTTTCAACATTATGCCTTGAGTAAGCAGCTCCCTTCCCAAATATTCCAGACTGAATCTTGGCACTCTTGGCACCTGCACAGCAGAAATCCCAGGATTAGCCTGCAGTGGGAAGCCCACGTATGTGTCTATTTACAGAGCTGGGGGAGATCCCCAGGGGCATGACAGTCTCTGCACATTAAAAAGCTATGCATTAAAGCACCAGGAACTCCAAGCACCACCAAAAAACCTAATATTATCACTACAGCAACCTGAAATGGACTAAAGCTTCAGCCACATTTCTTTTGGATCCTTTACCAAGAGATTCCTGGAAAGAATAATTTTGCAAAACTTACCTTCTTTTAAAGCACTGCTGCCATTGCAGGCCTCCTGATACTTCCTCAGGAATTTATGCACCATGTCTATTCAGATGTTGTTTCTGGAAGAGCAGGACTCACCTAAGAAAATGTCTACCATCATGTTCAGTGTGTATCTGCCAGAGCCTGAGCTTCTCTTTGTCCGCCCTTTTTGTTCACAGTGCTCCTCTACAAATCTTATGATTCCCTTCACTTCATCTGTCACATTTCTTGACTTGTAATCCTATGAAAATAGACTCGATTAGGAAACATTATGTGGTTCTGTCCTAATGCAAGTTGTACCAACAGCCTCAGATGTTATTACTGAGCTTTTTCCAGCCATGAATTCATTTTGTTCCAACCACAGGAACAGTGATTCTCTAGGTGGTTCACCCACAGGGACACAACACAGTCACAGGAATTCTGCACTTGATAACACTGATAAATGCAACCATACATACAACTGATTTCATATAATTTCTGTTGTGTTAGTTCTATGGAGTGAGCTGCAAGATGGCTGCCTGAATACTGGTGATCAAGGTAAAACATTCTGAAAGATTCCCTTAATATTCTGCTGACAGGCACTAGAGCTTCCAATCCACATTAAAATGAGAAGGCTGGACTGAATATGCCTATTTCTAGTCAATTTTTGTTGCAATCACAGTTAGTGCTTCAAACACTGGGCTGAGAAGCAGTATCATCAGGTCTAACACTGATCTGGCTTGTAGAGACCAGTGACCCTTCCCTCTCTGCCTCCTCTTCTGCTCCTGGTCACGCTACTCATGAGTTTATTTCAGTCTTGGTTGCACAAACTCCAATCTTGGGGCCCTCTCAAGCAGTGTACACCCCCTAACGTGGCACTCCTGCTACTCTGGCAGCACAAAGCTGCCTTAGAAACATCACGTCAGGCAGCTGCAGGGACTTCCCCACAGCCATTCCAGCAGACCCTGTATTAGCTCCTGCCTCTGTAAGCACCATAGCCAAGAAAATGGACACAAAGGAACAACCTTACACCTCACATGTCCTCCTCTGACAGGAACAGGAGCATCATAAGCCCATGGCTAATCTGTGTAATTCTACTCTGGGTTAAACCCTGGGGATGGTTTGAAGCCTCCAGCATCACAAAAACACAAGACACCTTATTAATTTTCTCCTTCTGCCTTCCCAAAAGTCACGTAAACGTTTTTCTAACGCAGCTAAATGCAAAACCACTTTAACACCACCATGAATATGAGCCATGATTTTTACCTTCTTCCTACTACAATTGTCACAGGTTACTTCTGGGTGATCTTTACAGAAGGTGGGGTTAAAGTTGGTTTCCCCAAAGTAGGCCAGAAGCTGGATCCTGCGGCAGTCCACCATGTTCTCACAGTAGTGAACCATGCTGTACAAGTTGTTGAAGTGAGTCTCCCTTGTGTGGCTGTTTCCATCTTTCTCCACTGAAATGCAGTAAATCCAAAGGCCTTTGTTAAATCAGCACCTCTGCATTTCATACATAGACAAAACACAATATTCTTTTTTTGCTTAAAAATCCAGAGGAGCAAGTTAGTACAGAACTAACCTAGGATAGATTTTACCTCTAGAGCTTTTAAAGAACGGAGAAGGGAAAGAAGATGAAGCAAAATGCTTTTGACTAAAATTAAAGTACAAGCAACAAAAATCTTTCCATTAGAAAACCATCCAGGTGAAGCTGCCCAGCTCTCCCACCTGTGCCATGTCTACCACCCATGTCTGGATGAGACAAGGACAGTCTCAAGGAAGCACACCAGCAACTAAGGGACTTCTTTAGCCTTGTCTCCATCAAGTCACAGTCACAAGAACTCACTCAGTATCAGCCTTCTGAGCCTGGTGACATCACTGTAGCTGTAGAAGAGCAGGCAGTGAGACACCTCCCCGTCCCGCCCTGCTCTGCCCGACTCCTGGTAATAACCCTCCAGGGACTTGGGGAGGGAGGCGTGGATAACGTAGCGCACGTCGGGCTTGTCGATGCCCATTCCAAAGGCAATTGTTGCACATATAACCTGGGAAGGAAACAGTGATTTGTTGGACAGTTATGAAAGTGATTCCTGCAGCACCCTGCCCTGGGAACAGGCAGTCAGGACTGCAGAGCTGAGACGTTCCACTGTCACGCTGCAAGGTGAGCACAGAACAGCAAAGCCCCCTCTCCAAAGAGCTATTCCAGACAAAGGGAACCCCCAATTTTCAGTCTCTATATATATAGTTCAGCAGCATGCCTAGAGCTCCTTCAGAAGCCATGTACTGCTCAGTTCCTTCCTCCTGGAGAATCACACCTCAGGGCAGGTCTTCGATTTGTAAAAGTGCCAGTACAACGTGTCTGGACAGGTCTGCTCAGGTCAGTTATTTAATGCTGCACCTGAGTGGCAATAACCTCACACAACTCTGCCTTTATTGGGCCAAGAGGGAGAAAAAGTGCCCTAGATTCTGCTCACTGCCCTCCCCCAGTTGCTTTCCTTTTACCTGGCATCCTTCTTGATTGATCCACTTCTTCTGCACAAGGTCTCTGTTGGCGTCGGTGAGGCCGGCGTGGTAGGCGAGCGCGGCCAGACCCTCCCCCTGCAGGACGGCAGCTGTCGTGTCGCACTCGTGCCGGGAAAGGCAGTAGATGATTCCAGAGTCATCTGCAAATACATACAACAAGGTCTGTGCAGCAATGCAGCTTTATTCCCTTTCGCTTGCTTAAGTCATCCCTGTCAAGCCAATACCTTCGTTCCAACAGGGAGAGGTTGCTGCGTGTGATGCAACGACCGCTTAGTGATGAAGAAAAGGAATTTTATTAATATCAGATGGTTTTTGTTAATGTCTCCTCACCCAATTTCCTGTTTTTTTTGGGAAAGGTGGAATCAAGAAAAGATTTTTTTGGCTCAGTACTGTGCAATCTGAGGATTTAAAACAGATGAGTAAAGAGCTATATAAATCAAGAGCTAGAGCAGGTTAGTCAGTGATGTCCCAGGTCACAGCACAGAGATGCTGCCAAGGGAGCCTGGCACAGTCAGCTTCCAGCAGCAGGAGCTGCAGGACTCTCAGAGGAGCTCCTCAAGGGGAACCACAGATAAGCAGACCAACAGAATCAAACAATTAAATCAGCATGGATATTAGATGTCCTTTATGCTCTGAAGATAGGATTTTAAAAGGTCTGGCCACCTCCAGAAGGGCGGCTCAAGAGCACTACCATTATTTACTTTTCCATCTTAACTTCAACTCCTGACTTTAGGACTGACTCCCATTATCAATTACATCATTTTGCCTTGAATTTGTTGTGTTTGTAAATATACTGGTCACTTACAGCAAGGCACAAGTTTGGGATTTTTACAGCCTTATACAAGTGTCCTGGTTTGAGTTTTTCCTGCCTTACAAAGCAGTTCACAAAACCACATGGGAGCTCCCTGCTGCTCAGTACTCACGTGGATGATTCTTTTTGATCCATTCCAAGCAATCCATGGCCACCTTCTTGGGCTTCTTGGGCAACACGTCATATTTCAAGTTATGCCTGTTGAAGCTCATTGTGAACCTGGAACATGAGAGTTCAGGGGTGCTGGTCAGCTTTATGAAGCAGCAATCCTTCCAATGAGCAAGGCATTGGCTGGAACACCCCACATCCAGCTACCTGCTGCTTGTTCTGTGTTATCTCCAAAGGAGTTACTGTTCCACCATGCCCATGGAGATTCACATCACCCATACTTGGGTCTAACATTTCTGCATTTCTCCTGTGGCTGTGAATACCCAAAGCTACCTGGTACTATGCAGGAGGGAGACCCTCCCATACACCAAACCCATGCACAGCAATCTGTCTTCCCTTCCCTCTGGAGCACCTGCATCCAAATTCAGAGAATCAGACCTGCAAAATGCAGTGCCACCTTCCTCCTCCTACCCTAAAAGACATTTCTAAAATAAGAAATTCAGCAAAAAAGAATGCTTTATTTTTCCATTTCATTACCATGAAATCACTACAATGCAGCCCAGGCCCAATGGTACCTCATTACCCATGTTACTACAAGTGCTAATTAAAGAACACTTCCAGCTTGTGCAGGTTCCCAGCATTCTCCTGAAAATTACCCTAAAATACAACTTAAGAGTCACAGAATGGTTTGGGTTGGAAGGGACCTGAAAGCCCATCCAGTCTCACCCCCTGCAGGGGCAGGGACACCTCCCACCAGCCCAGGTTGCTCCAAGCCCCATCCAACCTGCCCTTCAACACCCCCAGGGATGGGGCAGCTGCGACTTGCACATTTTGTCGGTGACACAGAAAATTTTATGATGTTATTTTCAGTTCCCTTAATCATGCAAGGAAGACTATGGCAAATATTTTTGTTTTGACTTCAGCATTTTGCACGTAACTCCCATCACATTCAAAGCCTGCCTTCTGTTCAATCAGATCCAGCAGCATTTCAGAAGGACTTGTAACACCTTCCTGACTTCACCGAGTTTTCCACTCAGAATGCCCACGGTGCAAATTAATCGTTTCAGGAAAGTGCTGAGCTACTTACACCTGTGGTTTTAGCATCTCGAGCTGGTTCTGAATATCCTTTTGCACCCTGGGGTTTGCAGTGGCAGTGAGGGCCATCATGGGGACAGAGCGGAACTTCCTGCGGAGCATGCTCAGCCGCTTGTAGTCCTGTCGGAAGTCGTGGCCCCACTGGTTGCAAAAACAGAATGTAACTGAGTCAGAAGCTCCAGTGAAGTGTTTTGCCATTTGGGAAAGAGCTGAGGGTTTTACCTGGCTGACACAGTGGGCCTCATCAATGACAAACCGAGCCAGGAGGTTTCTGTCATAGAGGTTTTCCAGGGCTGACATCAGGCGGCCGCTGGCGCAGACCTGGGGACACACAGACACCCCACATGGCCCAAGAGCCCAAGGTGAGACCTGGGGATGCTTAGTCTGCAGAAGAGAAGACTGAGAGGGAATCTTATGAATGTCTATAAATATCTGAAGGGTGGGTGTCAAGGAGGGGCCAATCTCTTTTCAGTGGTGCCCTGTGATAGGACAAGGGGCAATGGGTGCAAACTAGAGCACGGGAAATTTCACCTCAACATGAGGAAAAACTTCTTTACAGAGCCCTAGGACAGGCTGCCGAGAGCCTGTGGAGTCTCCTGCTCTGGAGACTTTTAAGACCCACCTGGATCACCTGCCCCAGGTGATCCTGCTCTAGCAGAAGGTTGGACTGGATGATCTCCAGAGGTCCCTTCCAACTCCCACCCTTCTGTGATTCTATATCATTAAGTACAAGGCAATCTTCTGACAATCACCCATGACTGTGGCAGGGAACATGTTGTCTCCCTGCATCAACCCTCCTTGCAGTCTGGATCCTAACAGCTGCCTGACTCTACAGTAGGGTATATTGGAATGGTTGGTCATGGGGTTGGTTTTCAGAATTTAAATTGTATGCACATATTCAGCTCCCATTCCAGGTTAATTTCCAATTGAAATCAGTTATAGCTGTACTGAGTCTTACCAAATTATCAAAAAAAAATATTTAACATTATTTTTTACCCAGAAGCCTACTCTAAATTCAGTGTTTCCCCTTTAACACTTGAAAGTGATTGACCTCTTGTTGCCTCCAGGATTTTACAGTACAAACTGAATACAAACCTTCTCAGGAGTAACATACAGTAGCTTTATCTCAGGATCTTTTTTTGACATTTTCATATAGATTTTTGAAGCATCAGCATCTGTTCTATCACCAGTCAGGTAAGTTGCAGCAATCTATAATTAAAAAAGCAATTAAATTTTAATGTGAGCAAAACAGAAGCATCTCCAAATGAAGCCCTACAGCAGTTATAACCAGGTGAAAAAGGATATGAAGTTACTGTCCTCAGCAAATGTAGCATTTTCAATGTTTCTTTGTGCATTTACAGGTAACATCTGAACCCCCACCACAGTGCAGGCATCACAGGTTAGGAACATGCATCTTCTGCACTTGAGTTTCTCTCCTCTGTGTATGACCTTCCCAGAAATGCTCAGCACCTCCAGACCCCTCCCAGCTCAGGAACTCTCAGTGCTTGTTTCTGCTGCAGGGCCAGGCTGCTCCTGTTCAGGTGTCCAAATGCAACTCTCAGAATCTATGAACCAGGCATCTGCACCTGGAAACGAAGCTCCAATAGCACACAGACATGCCCACCAATAAATGCAGCAGTCAGGCTTCCAAAATATTTTAGTTCACCTAGTTTAGTTCTTCCTAGACAACTCTGTGTGCCTTTCACAGCTTCCACCTCATCAATTGTTGCAGTTTATATTTGAGAGACAAAAGATTTACTGTAACATTTCAGATGCCTCATCCACTTATCTGCAGTTTAACAACACAAAGTCAGCTGTTTAAACTCACATCTAGAGTCTTCAGTTTCTGAACTTGATCTATAATCAGTGACCTCAGTGGAGAGATAACAATGGTGACCCCAGCAGAGACACAGGCTGGTAACTGGTAGCACAGGCTCTTACCACCTCCTGTAAGGATTGAGCAGAACACAAGTGTTGGACACTGAGAGGAAGGGGAGGGACTGAATTCTTGCTTCTCATTTTAAATTACTTTCAGAAACAACGAACTTTTACCAACATCTGCCCCTAATGTGACACCTGCAGGATGAGGAAGAGTTAATCACATGAAATAGTATCACTTCATGCCAGACACCACTTTGCCTGTGACATACCAGGAATCCTGCAGCCAGGGAGCCCCAGCAGCACGAAGAATCACCACCCCCACAAAGGCACAGAGAGAGAAGAGATTGCCAGGGGCCCTGCAGAAGGAGCTGCAGGTCTTTGCTCCTCACGGTCCGTACCTGTGGGCATCAGGACAAAGCAGTCCTCCCCCAGCAGGGCAGCATTGATGGCCTCCAGCTGGTTGGTCCGGAAGCAGTGCAACCCAAACTTCCTGTGAAACACGTTCATCATTTCCTCCGAGTGGGAGAATGTCCTACCCCTGAACCTCTCCAGGGCAGGGTCACTCACTGGGGGCTCTGGCAGACAAAGACAGGGACTTTCAGTCAGTCACAGCATCCAGCCGTGCCCACCCTCTCCACCAGGACAGGTGGCTCAGCCTCCACCTCAGGGCTCTCAACCTTTCAAACTTAAGTTGGGATGCACTAAAGGACACTGCATTCACCTAGAATTTTAAGACTGGCTGAAGTGTGAATTTTGGTTACATGCAGATCTCTGGAAACAAGCTTGGTGCCCATGGCTGTATGAACTGCAGAGTCTTGCCCTGCCAGACCTCACCCCTGCCCCTCTGAGAAGCTCTGAGAAGGCTCCTCACTCAGGGCTGCCTCAGACTGGTTGACTGTTTCATCAGACAGCACCATTTTCACCTCCCCCTTCATCCACCTGCTCCTGCAGCACCCACAGATGAGACTGACCCACCCGTGTGCCCCAGAGGGATTAGGTTTGTGTCAGCGACTGCCCATTTTGGATCATTTTGCATAAACAGCTAAAACTGTTGCACAGCTTTGAATTAACAACCACTGAGTCATTATTTAATTAAAACACAGAAACATTCTGGTTTCCAATTTTAGCAGCTTCATCTTCCCAGCAGCCTGCAACCTGTATGGCAAATAAATAGAATCACAGACTGGTTTGAGTTGGAAGGAACCTTAAAGATCATCTAGATCTGACCCCCTTGCAGTGGCAGGGACACCTCCCACTAGACCAGGCTGTTCTAAGCCAGACACAGCTTCCCTGGGCAACCTGGGCCAGGGTCTCAGCACCCTCACACTAAAGAACTTCCTCCTAATGTCCAACATAATGCTTGTTCTTAGGCTTCAAAATTAGCCAATAACGTTTTTAAAAAGGAGAAGACAGAATGAGCATCATTTACCTGCATAGTTCTTTGATGCCATCAAGCAGCTTGATTTCGGAGCAGCAGAATTTGATAGAACAGAAGATCCCTTGGCTCTGGACATGATCTTTGACAGGAGGGATTTGGCAGGTGGCCCTTCCCTGAGGGGCTGGTACAACGGCTCAGACGTCACCTTGGGTGCTGAAACCTCCACCGAACTCTCCCAGTCCTCATCAAAATCATCGATGTCAAAGTGATCGAGGTCAAAGTCTGTATCGTTGACACCGCTCTGCTGCCTCAGTGCTGTGCTTGTCAGGGGCCTCTCCAGCAGGTTCCCACTGCTCCTCACCCCTGGCTTTTCCCAGCAGCTGCTGCTGAAGGAGGTCTCAGAGCCAAGGCTGAGGGAAGCTCCCTCTCTGCCATGGACCTTGGGAGAAGCCAGCTCTGCTGTGTCCGAGCAGGTGATCTCCTCAATGCTTTGCTCTGAAGTGTAGGAGCTACCCAAGGTGTGATTTTTTGGGGTAGAAAAACTGCTTGAATTCAGAGACCCAGGAAGCACCGAGGGGAGGCTGGAGGGTTTGGGTGCGTTTCTGCCAGAACTGGAGCCCCAGCTGGGGCCAGAGCTCAGGGCAGGCCCGGGATGTGCAGCAGGGCCCTGCTCCACACACCCTGGCCAGTCCTTGGGAGTAGAGCTGTTTGTGCTGCTTTTGTTGCAGGGGGCAGAGCCAGAGAGCAGCCTTCTCCTGGGAGAGATGGCAAGGGGAGGGGAAGGAAAAGCACATATTTAGTCCCAAGCCATGGCAGCCACCATGCCTGGAGGGGCTGCAGGCTCCTGGCTGGCAGGTGCAGTGCTCTGGCAAGCAGGAATACTGATTTTTGTTAGAATATGTTCCCAGATAGTATCACTCTCTCAAAAGGCAGAGTATATGGCAATAAGTAAGTCTAAATAATATATATTTCAATATACTTTTAAAAGTCCATTCCCGTTTATCAAGTTCTACAACACACACAGTTTTGTCTCTCTCCTGTTGACAACATGACCACAAGGTGGTTACATTGTGTTCTCTGCCACTATGTTTTAAGAATATTTCAAACAAATCTAGAGAAGAAAGATTAATACCAGAACCCAGCTGAACAAAACAGTTACAAAATTACTACATCTTCACTGCAGATATTAAAATAACAGAACTCCTAATAGCAAGGAACTGATCCAGGCAAGTTAGAGCATTGAAAAAAATCCTTAGAGGCACAAACCTCTAGTTAAAGAAGTAAAAATATGCTTGAACCAAATGATGTTATGTCCTTTCTAAAGGTTAAGTCTGACTGCAGGAATATGAAATAAATCAGTTTGACTGGAAGTGTTCAGAAAAAACATCCAGCCCAGTAAAAACCAAACCACTCCCAAATCTGGATACTCTTCCTGTGCAGTGTGTCAGCAGAGGATGCAGATGTGAAAGCAGCAGCAACCAGATCCAAAGAGGACAAGTGCCTGGCTGCCAGGAGAAGCCACAGCCCTGCAGTCAGCCAGAGCCAGGCTCACAGAGGGAATGGTAAATTATTGCGTCTGGTTCCAAGAAACAGGGATGGCACCTGGCAGGATGTGTCACATCACCCTGCTGCTCTGGAACCAGCTGGTGCCAGTCCCCCTCCAGAGAAGGATAGGAAGTACCTGTGCCTCAGACTGAATGGGAACTGTGTCCTGCCCTATGGCAGAATGCTGGGATTGTTAACCCTTTCAGCAGGTTTTGGCATTTATTTTTCTTCAGACTGTCAGTAACTTTAAGCTTTCAAAAATAAATAAATAAATAAATAAATCCTTCAGTGTGGTGCTCTTGGTGTGCTGGGGACACCTGCAGGCACAGGCTTACCTAAGATCTCTCTGCTGGAGCAGCTCTCTGGCACAGGACAGAGTCTTCAGCTCGTGGAGTGGGATGGCATCCACCAGCTGGCAGATGGCAGTCATCACCTCCTGCAGGGGCTCCAGGGACAGGCCCCTGCCTGGCACAGACAGGGGGTGAGCAGCAGGAACAATCATCAGCATGTGAAACAAGGTGACATCAGTCTCTCAAAAGGCAGAGTAAATGGCAGTAGATAAGTAGATAATGTATTTCCATCTATCTTTAAACGTCCACTCACATCAAGCATTTCTCTGTGCACAAATGTCATTAGTCTACATATTTTTGCCTGCGCCTCTTAATTATCCATCTCTCTGTGTTTCTCAAACCTCATCACAGTTCTTTCAAACTTATTCCCAAAAAACATGCAAGTTGGCATGTTCTATCCCTCCCCAAGCCCACTAAAACACATTTTACCAAAACACCACATTGCAATTCTAGTCCGGAAAGGCCCCAGAAACCCTGTATAAGCACAAGGATGTAGGTGTCTCTCAGAACAGGACCATGGGCTGCACTCTGATACGTCTTGAGAGGAAAGACTTGCAGCCCCCAGACCATCCTGGGGCACTTGGCAGCTTTTCATTCTGCACCTCAAACTCAGGAGCACTTTAGCTCCGTACTTCCCAAGCTAGGAGCTGTGGAAACTGGATGGAAGCAGTGCCACAGCTCCAGCCAGAGGTGGGGCTCTGTGCCACGCTTTTTGGGAACGACTGGGTCAGTTTGTGCTTCTCAGTTATGAAAAGGAAGCCTGGAGAGTATCCCAGTACCCAGGGACCCAGGAGCGGGATCAGACACACGCCTGAGCCCACACAACGCCCGAAATTCCTGCACAAGGCTCAGTCCCTGCCTCCCAGCCCCCATGGGTCACTCCAGACAGTGCTTTCAGGTCACATGGGACATGCAGGAGAACCAGAAGTTGCAAAACCATACCCAAAATGTAAGGCATAAAACTGCCCAGTGTTTGATATACCTGCATCCTCTGCAGTCGGATCACTTTCCGCAACAGGCTGGGCTGTGACAACCTTCCCAGGCCTGGACTCACCACTGCTGACTGGGGATCTTCCACCAGTAGGAGAGTCTTTGAAAATATGACTGAAATTGAAAGGAAAGAGCCTTAAAATACAGATCTCTGCAAATCTTTGCATTTCCATAAGAAGAGTTTCTCCTGTAACAGCGTTTAAGACAGGAATGCAAGGTTGGTTTCTGAAGGCCCAGCTGAAATGCAGGCAGGGGAGCAGCCTGTCACTCCTCTGGGCCACCATGCAGGCACTTGTCTCCATATTATTTTTTTCCTCCCACTAGGAAAGGAAAAGTGACTCTACTTTTTCCCAAGCAAAACCCACCTTAAACACTTCCCAGAAACCAAAAAGCATTTCATACAACATTAGGAGCAGCTGTCAGCTGCTGAGCTGCCAACAGACAGGCAGCATCACCTCAGACTGGAGCTTCTGAGCAAGCCCCAGTTCTGTGTCTTTTCAGGTACTTCTTGAAGTCACTCTCAAGACTGAGGGTTTGACCAGGGAGCTTTGTTTTACCTCATGCTCTGTACAGATGGTGAGATGGAAGGCAGCTCTTCCTCAGGGGAGGGTGGAACAACATCCAGGTCATCCTCCTCTTCCAGCTCAGTGCCAGGGAAGGGCTGGATGTCAGTCTGGTCCCCTCCCAGGGGGCTGCATGTCTCAGCCCTGCCCGCCTGCTGGATCCCACCCCTGTCAGCAGCAACTGGGGGAAAGGTGTTATTAACATTGCTGGTATCACAGGAAACTCATTCTAGTGCAAACAATCACCACTGAACAGAGGGAAAGTTACTAGTCAGATTTCAGAACACTCATTTAATAGCCTCTGACTTTGAAAGGTCAAAAACCTTTTACTGCTCCCATTTCCTTTTCCCCCATGCACAACAAACTGACAAAAACCCACAAACCCTCTTTAAAGTGGAGAAGTTGTACAGCTTGGCTGTAAGTTACCTGCCCATGTAGGAAGAGAAGAACTTAAGAGGTATATTCTCCTACAAGAGATCTCATAGAAAACTACTGTTGTGCTAAACACCGAGTGAAAAAGAGCACAGACTCCTCAGCTCAACTAGTCCCTGTGCTGGAATTAGAAGGTAAATGTACAGGTATTATGCCTTGTAAGACAAACCCTACTAAGTAAAGGCCAATGTCATTAATAGATGAAGATTCATTTCACAGAAAGAAGGGGGGAAAGCAACAAAACATTCTTAATAAGAAAAATACAGTTCAGAAATCCTGCTGCCATGTGGTGCAGGCAGCACCACAGCTCACTGCTCAGCATCACCAGTAACACAGAGATGTTCATTTCACAAACAAAGACCAGAAGTTTCACAACCTAACAGGTAGGGCACATGAAACACAGAAGCTAAGGGGACTCCTGGGCTGCCAGGGACGCTCTCTGATGGATGGTCAGTCCCTTCTTGGTCATACAGGAGGGTGGGAGTCTTGGGGGCTGATTTTGTTCTCTGCTTTAAATAGAGAGAGATACCTTTGTCTCGTTTAACACTTCTCATCGCCACCTTTAGGCCTCCGACTATTTCACATCTCTTCTGTATGAATGAAGTGCTTTTCTCTCCCTGCCCCCCCGCTGAGTGGCTGCTCCGGCCTCGGGAACCACACGGGGAGCCTGGGGGCTGCACCACCCCCCGGCGGGGCTGCTGCCCCTGCCCGAGCCCCCAGCAGGACCCCCAGCCCCCCCCAGATCCCAGCTCCCTCCACACGGCTGTGCCAACACCACCCCACGTCCTCCCATCCCGCGGACGCTTCAGAACCAGGTTACCTGAGAGGGTCTGTTCCTGGC